ATTAATTTCTTTGGAGAAAGCTATGCAAAGCAGTAAATTCTCATGCATATGGAACCAGGACTTTTTTAGATCTACTGATAGGGGCTATAGCAAGAGTGGCAGGCCCAGCTTGGGGCCAGGAAAGCTGTTATTTTCCTTTCAATTTCTCTGTTGACATTCTCACATCTTCTGCTATATTTTCCTTTGCATGCAGCCTAAAGCTCAGCAGGATTTTAAAGAAAAGGAATAGTACTTGTGGTAGGAAGGAGGGAGTGGATCTAGAGAAAAGGGAAGAGGCACATTTTGTGGCTTTAATTTTTGAGAACTAAAAATCTACTTGCTCTTCTTCCGTCCTCCCACTCTCTAGGGTAGAGGCCAGCATGGGGACAATGGTTAAAATTACATGCTAACCAGCTGATAAGATAGGAAAAAAAAATTATTCTAAAGTATTTTGGATTCCTGAAGCCTTTAGGACGGAAGGCTAATTTTGTTCCCAGAGTCATGGTCACTCACCAACAGAAAATGCCTTCCAAATATTACACTGGGTTGGCAACTGCCTTATCCCCCAAGAGAGAGAGAAGAGAAGAAGAGTGGATCAAAAGAAACTGGACAGCCTTGCTCTGTTAAGAACATGGGTGAGACTGGGACTTGTATAGATACAGGCTTATAATTTAACTCACATTTTTAATTTACAAAACTGCTTTATGGTAAAAGGTGAAAATTCATGTTTTTTTGAATATAATAAAAATGCTTGCATTTCTTATTGCCCACATTGAAACCAAGACCAAACCTTCAAAATAAATTACAGAAGAAAAAGAAAAAAAATTCCAACGTATGTCACCGCAACTGGATAATTAGTAGAAGTTAAGGATGTAAACTATGAGCCAGAAGTGGTTAAGTTAGAACTTGAGCCTAAAGAAAACAGTATCTTCATAAATATTAATTTCTACTCTGCCTGTTTTTGACTCAGTACTTTCAATGACAAAGATTCACAGTATGCTTTCTCTCTAGTAAAATGTTTTACCAAAACCCACAGAACCTATGCCACAATACAGAAACCAATGACAAATGACGTGAATTCTAGATCAGGTCCTGTGCCAAACCCCACTCACAGGTCATTACAGACACAAATGAAAAAGCAGGATGCTGTGAGTGCCATTAATAGACAATCTGGGCCATTTTAGAAGTGCCAATCTACAAATAGCGGACCTATGTCGAACCACAGTGATGCTCGACACAGGTTTTGATGCCAGGGACGAGATCTGAGTTCCCTGGCTCTGCGGCCTTAGGCCCATTCTTTAACCTCTCTGTGCCTCTGTGAACTCATTTCCAAAATGGACAGATTTAATAGTATGTATGACATATTGTAATGTGAGGCTTAAAAAAGGATGACACCTATAAAAGGCCCAGCAAAATGCTTAGAACACAGAAGCCCTCGAAAATGCCATTCATTCATTCACTCATTCATTCGACAAATAGCTACTGAATACCTACTTTGTGCCAGGCACTGTTCTAGACACTGGGGAAAAGGCAATGAACACAACAGACAAAAATTCTTTCCCTGCTGGCGTTTATATCTTAGCAGAAAATATCTCATTGAATAGTGCTTACAATAGTTTACTCTTAGAGCTAAATCAGTGGGTCTTGACGCTACCCAGGGTACATTTACCAAAGTCTGGAAACATTCTCGGTTGTTACACCTGGGGTGAAGGGACTGCTCTCGGCATTTAGTAGGTATAGACCAGGGATGCCGATCACAAATGACCCAAAATGTCAAACACTGCAGATGTTGAGAAACCCTGTTTTACAGGTTATGGATGGGCTTGGTTAACCCTTAACAAAACCCTACAAGGTAGGAATTATAAATATGGTTATTTTGTTATTTTATAACAACTAACAGTACTTATATTTTATAGAGTATAATTACATGACATTTATATAATATTTATGTATTAAAGTTTCATGGTGTTTATAAAGTACAAAATATATATACAGGCACTTTAAAAGATACCTCAGTAGTGTGCAAGTATATTTAAGTTCCGATTTTGGAATTTACAAAATCGATTTAAAATTTATTTTATAACCAATGGCTGTACCCTTGTGCCATCTAGATCTTAAATGATTAATTTCTCCAGTTCTCACTCACATGCTTAAGGAGGTGATCTTTGTGCCACATTTGCACTGATTCAGACAATAGAACAAGAGAATAGTGTGGTATACTAGAAGCACCAGAGCAAGAATCCAGAGCTAGAAGACCTATGTTCATCATGTCACTGGCTGTGGCATTTTTAGGCAAGTCACTTAGCCAGTCTGGGCTGAGATTTACTATCAGCAAACGTGGAGCAAAAACGTCTTTCAGATCATGTGTGAAAGCGCTACGGACATCGCAATGAGCACTGCCACCACCCACCAAACCACTGACATGTACTGAGTGATCACTTTTTTTTCACTGCACACTGACTCGGTCAACCCTCATCACAGCCTATGAGGTAAGCATGCCAATTACTGCAAGCTGAAGATCAGGAAACATGGCACGGAAAGGTGGTAACTTGCTTGAAGTTACAAGGTCAGGAAGTGGTAGGGCAAGGGCTCCTACCCAGGCAGTCTGGCTCCAGAACCCATCCTCTTAAACAGCACGAGTCTCTCCAGCTGAGCTGTTATGGAACATCTTCCGGCCCCACTCTGACATGAGCAGCCTCAACTGGCCATAGCCTATACTCCTCCCAATTTCTAAGAGTCGCTCTGCTCTGTGTGCTGCCATGTTTACTCCTAAGTCCTGACTAGTGGCCAGTTGCATTTACCAAAGCAAAAAAGAATGAAGTCTCATTTCTTTTTCAAATTATTTTATTTCTTTTAAATTGGTAGTATATACACAATGCATTAAACACAATACAAAATTCAAAGGCACGGAGGATAATAGTGACGATAATTCTCCTTCCTATCCTTGTCTCCTAGCTATCCACTCCTTTCTACTGAGACAACCAGCATTACCAGTTTCTTATAAACTATTCCAGAAATGTTCTATACAATATATATTCTTTTTCTAAAAGAGTTAAATCACTTGTAGTAGGCAAAACATCCTATACTACAATCTTATTTTTTTCACTAAACAATATTTTGGAGATCAATCCATACAGAGCTTCCTTTATTGTCTGAAGAGGATCTGTAATTTATTTAACCAATCCTGAACATATGAATATTTAATGTATTTCTGATGGTCAGCAATATTATGATATCTTATGAATGTACCATTTCTTATATTGCAAAAATGTACTTAGGACTCATTAAGTCAAGGGATATATGTCCTTTACCATTTTACTGAAATAACTGAATCACTCTCTATACGGGTTGTATTACCTTATACTTCCACCTAAAATGCAAGAGATCACCATTGAATTTTACTTTATTTCTATATCATTAAACAATATATCATAAAAATGTTTTATTTTTGGCATTTATAAGAAATTTAACTCATATTTTTAATTTGCATTTCTGTTACGATTAGATTGAGAATCTCTTCATGTGTTTCAAGAACCAATTATATTTCTTTTGTCTACAAATGTTCTGTTCATATCCTTGTTTTGTTCAATCTCACTGTTTTTTTTTGTTTGTTTTTTGTTTTTTTTCCGAGAAGGGGACAGGAAGAGGGTAGGAGTGGGTGAGGGAGAGAGAAAAATCTTAGGCAGGTTCCACACCCAGCACAGAGCCTGATGCGGGGCTTGATCTCACCACCCTGAGATCGTGACCTGAGCCGAAATCAAGAGCTAGATCCTTAACCAACTGAGCCACCCAAGCACCCCTCAGTCTCATTTTTATAATAAGTTGGTTTCTTTTTCCTATGGAATTATAGGAGATTTTTATGCAAAAAATAAACCCATTATCTATAAGTTGCCAGTACTTTCCCCCAGTTTCTTATTATTTGCCTTTGTAGTAATATTTGATTTGTAAATAGTGTTGATTTCCTTAATTCTCTTCTTTCATAGCTTCTGAGTTTTCTACTTAGAAGGGTCTTTTCCACTTGGAGAGTATAAAAAAAATCCTTCTTTTCTTTTAGTACTTCTATGGCTTTATTTCCAAGTTTAAAACTTTAAAAGATTACAATTTATTTGGGTGGGTAGTATGAGATTGGACTCAATTTCCTTGTTTTCCAGATGGCTTCCCAGTTGTCACAATAATTTCTGTAGAATAATCTATCCTTTTACCACTGATCTGGAATGACAACTTTATTATATACAAAATTCTCATATTATTTATTTCTTTGAATTTCTGTTATTGTCTTACAATCAATAAATAAACAGATCATTTTAATTATTATAGTTGTATCATATGTTTTACTATCTGGTAGAGGTAGTCGACCTCATTATTCATCTTTCCAGAATTTTGCTGGCTGTTCTTTGGGAACTTAGAATCATCAGTTGGTAATTTTGTTAGGATTGTGTTATATTTATAAATTCATTCAGAGAAAATGCATACCTTTAGCAGGCTGAATCTTCCCATCCATGGACATCACATACTTTTGTGTTTGGCTCAAGTCTTTGAACCATCCCTCTCCAGCCTGCCCTCCTCCAGCCCCATCTTTGGGTGGGCTACTGTGACATTTTTAAGTTTTTTCATATAGGTCTTCATTTATTACATTTATTCTTAGAGTTAGAATGTACTCCTGTCTGGCTAATATTATCACATGCAGGGCTTATTTCTAAACAGACACTGTAATAAAAACTGTTAGTTATGGTTTCATATAAAAAGTCATTCATTTTTGTTTTGGTTTTGGTTCTGTTCTGAGTTCTTGAAACCTTAGCAAACTCAGGGTTGAAAACTTCACTAGGACCATAGCCACATAACATACTTCTTTTAAACTCCTGCTAAGAAAGAAATACTAAAATGATTTATCACAAGCTTATGAGATTTTTAGAAAGCTTTGCTCCATGTTAGTTTTATCTTATATTTTGGGAGTATACAGAGCTTAGCAGTGTTATGTTACATATTAACAATTTTTATTGAACTAAAAACACAAAACTTACCTCCTAAATTCATTCCAGCTTGAAGACATTTCTGAAGTCTGCAGGCAGGACAATTCTTCCGTCGAATCTTATCAATGATACAATCATTTCTTCCAGCACATAAATAGTTGTGTTGCCCTGAATAACCAAAAAACAAAAAAACAAAAAACAAAAACAAACAAAAAAAAAGTCAAAATAAAGACTACTTCACTAATATAAAGTACTAATAAGTATAATCAGAATACGAAACTTCATCTTTCCTGCCCTAAAATTTCTTCTTCAGAAAAATAGAAGAGGAATAAGATTTACAGGTAATATAGGTATGGGCATGGCCAGTTTAACACAGGTGAGATTTTAGATTACAGATAAGAGTAATACTGCATTTATTTCTAACTGACGTTCATATACATGGAGCCACGCTCCCCCACACTGAAATTATTGGTAGCTGCCCAATCCCTCTCAGGCAATGGTGCAATTTTTATTTACACATCACAGCAGTAACAGAGTGGATTGTTTGAAGGCTCTCCTGCAGTTGCTGGAGTTGCTATGCTGCCCACCATTTACACACAGGTGATTTCAGTGGGAAGACCTACAGATTATATAACTGTAAATGTTTAACTGTAACTGTTAACAATATTTAATAAATATTTATTATATATTAATAAATAAATATCTAACAATATTTAACTGTAACTTTAACTGTAACAGTTAAATGTTTAACTGTAGACCAAACTGTAATTTAAAATATTCAGATGTGGGACTATACTCAGAGAGAGGGATCTACTAGCAAAATGTGAAATTGTAGCCTAGTGCTATTATTAATTAATTTATTTCAAAAGATTTATAGAACATCCACTAGGTACCAGGCACATAGCAATGAATATGAGCAATGAATGAGATGGTCAGAAGTCCCTGCTATTATTAACTTTCATTCAACTGGGAGGAGACAGTCAACAGACAAGGTGATTAGGTAAAATATACAAATGCTGGACAGCTGTAAGTGCTAGGGAAAGGGCATATAACATGGTGGAGATGTGGGAGGATGCTGGCATTTTAAAAAGAGTATGGAAGGACTTACTCAAAGATGCTTTAAATAGAGGTCTGAAGGAAGGAAGGCACTATGTGGACATCTTGGGGAGAAAAATACAATACACAGAGGGAAAAGTAAATAAGCTAGGGGCGGGGCTGGGGAGGATTCCTGGCATGTTTAAAGAACAGACAAGTATGAAAGAACAGAAAGAATGAATGGAAAGTAAGAGATAAGGAAAAAGAGTTAATGTGAGTTAGATCATACTGGGCCATAGTAAAGATCATATTTAAGACTTGGACTTTTAGTTTGAGTGCAATGGGAAGCTTTGAGCAGAGAAATGACTTGATGTGATTTACATTTAGCATGATCACTCTGGCTGTTATGTTGAAAACGGACTCAATGGATGGAGACATGCAGGAAGAACAGGGGTAGAAGACTATCACTACAATCCAGGGGAGAGATGATTGTGGGTCAGGTCAGTGTGGTAGCACGGACAGTGGTGAGAAGTGGTCAGATACATTTTAAAGGTAGAACTGCTAGCATTTGCTGATAGATCAGAAGAAAAAGGGGAGGTAGAGGCATTAAGAGTCTTGGGTGAACCCTTAAGAAAAATGAAAATGCCATAAATTAAAATGGGGAAGACAGTAGGAGCATGTGGTTTATGGGAAATTACCCTAATTCAGTTCTGGACATGTTAAGTTTGAGATGCTTGAGAAGTTTCTAAGCGGATGTGCCAAGTCGGCAGTTAGATACACAGGTCTGGAGTCAGGGAGAGGTCTGGGCTGGAGGTATAACAGCGTGCAGTCATTATTTTAAGCCATGAGACTGGATGAGATCATATGGAGAGTGAGCACAGACTGGAAAGAGAAGAGGTCTGAGGACTGAGTCATGGGTCACTGAAAACATGCAGACAAAGAAAGGAGAGAGGGAATTTCATCGATTGCTATAAAGCAGTGAACAGGATTTAAGCACTCCCTTCAGCTTAGGACTATATGCTCCCTTGGTTGAGACTTACTAAGTAAATTACAGTAAATACTCAATAAAAATAATGTGTGTTGCTTAATGTAATTGAAATAATTTAATCTAGAGCACATTCTCAGTAACATTATGGTAAATCTTAGTAATAATAACAATAAACAGTACTAGAATAGGGAAATCTATCAAAGTAAAGAAATGAAAACCTACCATTATAATAATCTAATGACTTTTTAAAAAATTGGAGGCTCTTAGTGGATATAAGTAAGTATAGATAATTACACAAAGGCAATCAATACGCATGGTAAAGACCGTAACTGATTCATATAACATTTCACGATGCTGTACAGTATCTTAAGTAATTGGTTACCACCTTTAAAATAAAATTTTAAGATCCTATTATAGCACTATCTTATTTAAGCCTTACAACAACCCTATGACATAGAAGGCCAATATTATTAATGCTATTTGCTCACAAGAAGAAACTCATGCTAGCACTGGTAAAGTGACTTCCCCAAATGGTGGAACTGGAAAAATTCAGGAAGGCTGACAGTATCAGTGTGCATTAAGGGCCAGAGTCTTAAACATCAACTTGCAATATGATTTACTGGTGGTCCAATGGGAGGCTAAAAGTGCTCTTTGGAACTGAGAAGCAAAAGAACGCTATTTGAATGAGGAACACTCTATCCGTCCGTATATCCAGTGACAACCAGCATTATGTGACTTTTGCATGGTGTGAAATTGAACACAAAACCAAAGATTTATCTATGACTCACACTGAACTGAACAAACTTTAAAGTCCAAAGAGAAAACTAAATGTAATTTTAATTGGTTTTAATTCAGCAAGTATTCACTGGGAACCTACTATGTGTGCAAGGCTGCCAGACATTTGCATAAAGGGCTGGGGTAATCTAAGGTTCTTTTCCACTTCTGCCAATGTGCAGTAAAATGTGACTAAGTCTCTTAGATTGCATGCATACAAGAATGCATAAGAAATGACCACTGTCTTCCGTACACACTAGAAGATTTTCTTCTTTGGATATTCAAAAACAGAAACTTCCAAAAAAAAAAAAAGAAAAAAAAAAAAAGAAACTTCCAAAAGCTGGATATTTCTGTAAGGATTCTTAAAAAATGAAGACACCTTAAAAATCCATGTTACTATAATGGTTACAGGATAATTTCCTTCCTGCAGCAATATTTGAAATTGTATACCTGGTTTCTACCAACCAGTGTGGTCACAGCCACCAATTCATTTTCCAAAAATAGGATGGGAGCATTGTAAGGGTCTAAGAGTTTTCACACAGTTTTCCATCATGTATATTTTTAGTTGTGCAAACATTAAAGATTTAAATCGTACCTTACACTAGTAAGTAATGTATGTCCCATCTCTCAGTCTATATTAAAACACCAAAGTAACAACAATAAAACCCGCAATGAAAAAAGAGAATGCATCTAGAAGATCTAAAAAACTTTAATATGTCTTATTTAAACACTGTGTTCTCCTGGTATTAAGATTGCTAATCCTGAGTAAGTCAAATCCCAGGCATTTTCAGGTAAACGATTTTCTATGATGCCCTTCATTAGAAGGGCAGACAACCAGAATGCTGGGGACCAGACGGTGGAGACTTTGGATGACAAACTAAAGCACTCAGATTTTGTTCAGCAGGTGATGGGATATCACTGAAGATTCTTGCTTTCAATGTGTTGAGTTCAGAGCTGTGTTTTAGAAACACTAATCTTAAATTGATATACCAAGTAGATAGAATGGAAATAGGGAACACTATTAACAGTCTACTTGAAAGTTCTCAAAGATGGCCTCTATGCAAATTAGTAGCTATATATTTTGTCAGACTATATAGCAACAGAAATAATCCTGTAGTTAAAAAGAATCTTGGTGATAAAGGAAACAAAGATTTCTCATTCAAATTGCATGTCCATTATGGGGAGCATTCCAGTTCTGGTAGTGGCAGAACAGCTTGAATCAGATAAACCTCCTACAGATAACAATTATAAACTGTCCACAAAAGGAGAGAAAGATTTGAAGGCACTGGGGAGCAACAAAAAGCAGGAAGAAACTGGAAGAAAATGGACTCTTGAAAAAAGACAATCACCCCAGACAAGATTCACCTTTGAACAGGTCTCTCCTTGAGGGCCTATATTCCACTCAGTGCAGGGTTGATAGAAAACAAGCAAAATCCTCAGTCTTACTAACTTCAGAAGGCAGAGAACAAACTTGGGGACTGTCAGAGTAGCTAGAAATTGAAGAAGGATATTCTGGAAAGAAGAGTGTCATAGGGGGATGGAGGTAGATAAAATGTACATATTAACTCCCCTCAAATTCTTGGCTGACCCCTAAACTGAACATGAAATTTCAAAGAGTTTTAGGGGTAAAACAATTTAAAATAAAAGGGCTGGGCAGATTATTTCAGCTGCTGCCCATCACAAAAAGTTTGAATCCCACTAAATCAGAAGGACTCATTAAATACCTCAGGCTTTCCATTTTAATATTGGAAGGTTCCCTACCTTAAGAGGAAATATGGTAGTCCAGGGCTGAGACATTTAGCCTATGGCGTTTATCCTAACCAAAATAGACCTATCTTTAAAAAAGTTTAAAGCAAAGGCTTGACAATTTCAAAGTGATCTGTCAGAAATATAACTACTAGAACAAAACTCAATACTCTTTGGAGAATTATAACAGAATCTGGATATTCCAGAAAGTCTAGAATACAATAATAATCATTAAAAATATTTAAAAACAGGAAAATCCGGACCAAAGTCAATATAAAAATTTATCAGTAGAAACAGATCCAGAGGTTGACATTAACAGATAAGGATTTAAAAACTGATATGTTAAAATGTATAAGTAAATATGATTAATAGGAGTTAAGAATTGTGAACTGTCAGAAGAGGTGTGGAAACTACAGAAATAAAATAAACAAAACCAAATGGATATCCAAGAACTGAAAAATATAATATCTAAAATAAAATATTTATTGGTTAGAATTAACAACATACTGGGCACTAAACAAAAATGGGCTATTGAAATTAAATAAATATAAGTAGAAATCACCCAAACTAAAGCACAAAGAAAAAAATTAAGTATAAACGAACAAGGTACTAATAGCCTGTAGGA